TATATATATATATAAATAAATTTTCCTTTTTATCCTTCCCATTCTGTAAGTATGGAAGGGGGCTTAGTATTTGAATTAATTGTTATCTGAATATATGTAATCTATATATATGCAATTTCCAGGTTGCTTTTCTATTTGGAAATGAAACAGATTCCCTGGTAGTTGCATAGTTCTCAAATGCTTACTTAAACTTTTCATTGTCAGACTATTTAATAGCCATATACAATTATTCAGTCTATTTTGGCATGAACATGTTTGTGTTCTTTACATTTTAAAATAATAAAAATAATAAACCTAAGAACTGGCTGGCTGGGGGGGGTTCCTTTAAGCACAGATCTCAGATAGCCTCAGGCAGCAGCCCCACACAGTAAGTCCTGAGCTGGTGCCCTGCCGGAACTGGTTCCGGCCAGCCTTAAATGCAATTCAGGGTCCACTCAGTGTGGATGCGCTATTTCGAAATAGCAAAATGCTATTTCGAAATGCATTTTGTGTATAGATGCATTATTTTGAAATATCTTATTTCTAAATAACACTGTAGTGTAGACATAGCCAGAGAAGGGAAGAAGCAGGGTTATGTATGACATTTTTGCTCTTCTAGCCTTACTGCATTGTCCCTAGAGATCAGCCATAGCAGCATGCCTTGTACTCCTGGAATGCTTGACATCTATTTGAGTGTTTTACATTGTTCTATTTAAGAATTAAAAGCTCATTAAAAGTACCAGACAGAATCTAGAACACCTACCTTGATGTACAGATCAGGTAGCTTATTGCAAAGAGCAGTGGAAACTTTCCCACAACACCCTGATCATATGGCTCATCCTGTTCTGCTTTTCAAGATGTCCCACTTCACTTTTCCATAGCCATTCCATTCCTGGCCTAACAGACTGCTAACAAAAGTACCACTACTGTCAGTGGGGACTATGATTTTTTAAAATATATCTGTAATAGCATTTGAGACAGCAAGCTATTTCATAGAGAATAGTCACCATCTTGTGCGGTAGTGACTGCCAGTCACTTCTGAGTTGGGCCAGATTTGAACCAGCAACCTACAGACTGCTGAGGATGTAAAGTTGCTGCATTTTATTGCAAACTGCTAAACCTTCTAATCCCTTACATGCTACTGAAATCAAAGTTAAGTATTACATTAATAAATGCATAGGCTACAAGTCATGTAATTAGACTGTTGGTTATTATAATAAAGACAGGCCATATTTTCTTTGAGATCATGTCTTTTTTTCTTTGCTTTCTTGATATTCCAGATTTTGTCATATTTCTTTCAAATGTATTAAAGAAGCTATACTTTGTTTGCTCAATCAGCTATTCTAAGGGCTGGTAGCTTTGCACCTTTTCTTTTCTCTTTTTTTTTTTGAGAGAGAGAGTTACTTGTTTTTGTTTCAGTTAAGGATGCAAAGATCCATTTCTTTGCTGATGGGTTTAAGGAATCAATACTTAGCAGACAATAAATACAAAGATTTGGAGAGGGGGAAATTAAATTTCTAGTACAGGAAAGAAGCTCTTACCATACATCAGTTGAAAAGTTTCTTTAATTTTAGTTAATGAAAGAAAAATTGGAAACTGACTGCTACCCTTTAAAATCCTCCACTTTCTGGTTTCTGTGGGCCTTTCTTCTGGGCATCTATTTAAAATATTATTTGGAACAATTTGAATAGCAGGATGGAAAATACTTCTGATATTTTTCCCATTAACAGTCAGTTACATTTCCCAGAAGTTCTGCAGCCTATTTAAGACAAAATTGACACACAGGGTCAAATTCACCTCACCTGCAGAAGGCTTGAGTAATCAACAGGTGAATTAGGGAGAGTCAACATTTCCATAGTACACAGGTCATTCAGCCTCACCCTATTCCATCCTGAGCCACCACTCCAACAGCATCTACTTCCCCTCTGCTCAGGATGGGAAGCGCACTTCATTCATGCAACTGCAGATGCCACAGCTCTTCATTGGACCTGTTCCCAAAACCCTGCCTTTACAGGCAGACCAGGTGGGACTAGTTCTCTCCATGGTGTGCAGGATGGTGCAGCTGCTTTACCTGCACCTCCCTTCACCCTCACCCTCCACAGGTGATGCTGTCCCCACACCCTGCAGAGAGAGCAGAAAGTCAGTTATGTGAATGCGGGAGGAGGAGGAGGATTCTGCCCTATTAGATTTTACCTCAGGAGCGGGGAAGATGGAATAGATTAAGTCATCTCTCTGCATCTCCTGCCAGAGGCTCTTTTGGATACATTCCTCAACTGGAGAGAGGGTGCTGCCAGCTCGGACTCAAGAATTTATTTACTACTGACAAGAATGAGAGTCAGGATGGAGAAAGCTAGAATTTGTCACACAGACAACAGAAGGTTGGTGTGGGAATGAAGCAATATGACTGGGTGACTGGAACCAAAAGACAGAAACTGTTGTGTTTTATTCCTGAGTTGGATATGGACTTGACCTGTTGACCTTGAACCAATCACTCAGCTCTACATCTTTTGTGAAGCAACACTTGTGTACACAATGCTAGGGGTGCAGCATGTAGCCCTTAACCTCCATGCACTACAGGGTGGATACACAGGTGATTATAGGACTCAGGAGCACTGTGATGACTAATTACTGTTTGTAAACTGTGTACAAGTTTTCATGCCTTTTTTAAATCCATTTTAAGTTGGAGACATTCCTTACTCTAATTTTACTTGCCTGATTACTGCCAAACTAGTCAATTAGCCCATCATAAGACGGGATTTTCAGGTCTCTCCTCCACGTCGGTCTTCTTTCCTGAACCTCCAGTCTCTCGCTCCACCTCTCTCTCAACTCTCCTCACCCTCCTGCATCTCTCTCTGTCTCTCTCTTTCTCTTCTCCTCCCTCTCCTGCCTTTCACTCGGGGGACTGTGGAGCCCAAACGGCGATCCCCGTACTGCATGGGGAGTGTAGTGCCCAAACAGTCGTTTGCGCCCCTTGCTCCCATGCGGCGGCCCGGCTGAGCAGCACAGAAGTCATCCAAGTGCCCCAGCGGGAGGTGAAGGGGGGCAGGGAGGTGATGTTCATGGCCAGGGGGCAGGGCCTGGAGCCGCTGTCATGCCGCACGTCACTGCCCTGCCCCCCTTCGCCTCCCGCCGTGGCACTCAGGTAACTTCCGCGCCGCTT